TGCTATGACGGTTACATTCCGTGGGTGTATTATAAACAAATAAATTGATTTACGTATGCGCTTACAATATGACCCTCCTAGAGTGACCACAGTGACCTTGTATGACCCTCCTCGAGTGACCCCAGTGACCTTGAATGACCCAGTATTGACAGTGACAGAACTGCGTTGCGGAGAACATGAAGCGATTAAGTTTTTATTAACCATTTATGTGTTCTATTTTACCTCATTATTTAGTCTATTTCGTTCAGGTTATTTAGTGTTTTCAGTGAGTTCTCTCCCTAGTGACACAAGGTTAGGTCTTCCCCACACAGGGCCTCGGTGGGGCCTCACCAAGAGCACACACACGGCTGAGGAAAATGATTTATTGGTTTCATTTCGGGTGATGTTTCTTTATTTTTCGACCAAGAAGACCTAGAGAACTGTGAGGTATAAGTATCGTCCATTGTTTGGTATTCGTGAAGGGAGGAAGTGTATAAACATGCACGCACGAACATAATGGGGCACGAATGAACATCTATTTACACGTTCATGTATATAGAGCAACACGAGTGAACACAGGCACGCACGGTGTATATAGGAAAACGAATGTACGTACAATACATGGACACACACACACACACTAGCAAGGTTTGGCAGTGGACTACTGCACCATCATCGTCATCGCCACCTTCTGCCACCAGCAGTCCCCCGCCCATCTCGCGCAGTCCTCCACTACAACAAAATTCAGCCCATAAGCGCCCGCATTGATAGATATAAGAATAGCACCATCCCATCTATTGTAAAAATAATAAACAACTTCTGATTTATGTACTGTACAGCCCTGTAAATGTATTCAACGCATATCATTATGTCTAAATCAAATGTAAGTTTGTATATTTTCAGCCACCGGCTGCAACTCTAAATAAACCGTTTATTATTATTATTATTATTATTATTATTATTATTATTATTTTAATCACACACACACACACACACACACACACACACACACACTCATTCATTTATGATTGTCATTAATAGTGTAGGAAGTGTTGTAGAGGTGTGTGGGAGCAGTAGTATGTATGATAGTTTTATGGTAGTAGTAGTAGTGGTGGGAGATAGTGACGGTGGCTGGTGTAGCGTTAGTAGTAGTGGTGGTGGTAGGGAGGTAGTGACGGTGGCTGGTGTGTAGCGTTGGTAGTGGTGGTGGTGGTAGGGGAGGTAGATGACGGTGGCTGGTGTGTAGCGTTGGTAGTAGTAGTGGTGGTGGGAGGTAGTGACGGTGGCTGGTGTGTAGCGTTGGTAATAGTGGTGGTGGTGGGAGAGTAGTGACGGTGGCTGGTGTGTAGCGTTGGTAGTGTAGTGGTGGTGGTGGGGGGAGGTGAGTGACGGTGGCTGGTGTGTGGCGTTGGTAGTAGTAGTGGTGGTGGAGGTGAGGTGACGGTGGCTGGTGTGTAGCGTTGGTGAAGTAGTAGTGGTGGTGGAGGTAGTGACGATGGCTGGTGTGTAGCGTTGGTAGTAGTAGTGGTGGTGGGAGGTAGTGCATGGCTGGTGTGTAGCGTTGGTAGTAGGTGATGGTGGTGGGGAGGTAGTGACGTTGGCTGGTGTGAGCGTTGGTAGTAGTGGTGATGGTGGGAGGGAGAGTAGTGACGGTGGCTGGTGTGTAGCGTTGGTGTAGTAGTGGTGGTAGGGAGGTAGTGACGGTGTGGTGTGTAGCGTTGGTAGTAGTAGTGGTGGTGGAGGTGGTGACGTGGCTGGTGTGTACCGTTCAGGTAGTAGTGGTGGGGGAGGTGGTGATGGCTGGTGTGTAGCGTTGAGTAGTGTGGTGGTGGTGGGGGAGGTAGTGACGGTGGCTGGTGTGTAGCGTTGGTAGTAGTAGTAGTGGTGGTCGGGGAGGTAGTGACGGTGGCTGGTGTGTAACGTTGGTAGATAGTGGTGGTGGTGGGGTGGTGACGGTGGCTGGTGTGTAGCGTTGGTGAGTGGTGGTGGAGGGAGATGGTGACGTTGGCTGGTGTGTAGCGTTGAGGTAGTAGTGGTGGTGGTGGGGAGGTGGTGACGGTGGCTGGTGTAGTAGCGTTGGTAGTAGTGGTGGTGGAGGTAGTGACGTGGCGTGTGTAACGTTGGTAGTAGTGGTGGTGGTGGGGAGGTAGTGACGGTGGCTGGTGTACACGTTGGTAGTAGTGGTGGTGGTGGGGAGGTGACACGGTGGCTGGTGTGTAGCGTTGGTAGTAGTAATGTGGTGGTGGGGAGGTAGTGACGATGGCTGGTGTGTAGCGTTGTGGTAGTAGTGGTGGTGGTGGGGGAGGTAGTGACCGGTGTGGCTGGTGTGTAGCGTTGGTGGTGGTGGTGGAGGTAGTGACGTTGGCTGGTGTGTAGCGTTGGTAGTAGTGGTGGTGGTGGGGGTGGTGACGGGTGTGGCTGGTGTGTGCGTTGGTAGTAGTGAGTGGTGGTGGAGGTGGTGACGTTGGCTGGTGTGTAGCGTTGGTAGTAGTGGTGGTGGTGGGGAGGTGAGTGACGGTGGCTGGTGTGTAGCGTTGGTAGTAGTGGTGGTGGTGGGGGTAGTGACGGTGGCTGGTGTGTAGCGTTGGTAGTAGTGGTGGTGGTGGTGGGGGTAGTGACGGTGGCTGGTGTGTAGCGTTGGTAGTAGTAGTAGTGGTGGTGGGGGAGGTAGTGACGGTGGCTGGTGTGTAACGTTGGTAGTGGTGGTGGAGTGGGGAGGTAGTGACGGTGGCTGGTGTGGCGTTGGTAGTAGTAGTGGTGGTGGTGGGAGGTGTGACGGTGGCTGGTGTGTAACGTTGGTAGTAGTGGTGGTGGTGGGGATAGTGACGGTGGCTGGTGTGTACGTTGGTAGTAGTGGTGTGGTGGGGGTAGTGACGGTGGCTGGTGTGTAACGTTGGTAGTAGTGGTGGTGGTGGGGAGGTAGTGACGGTGGCTGGTGTGTAGCGTTGGTAGTAGTGGTGGTGGTGGGGGGAGGTAGTGACATGGCTGGTGTTAGCGTTGGTAGTAGTGGTGGTGGTTGGGGAGGTAGTGACGGTGGCTGGTGTGTAGCGTTGGTAGTAGTGGTGGTGTGTAATGACTGCTGGGTCGTTGTAGTGGTGGTGGGGGAGTGTGACGTGGCTGGTGTGGTTAATTGGTGGGGGATAGTGACGGTGGCTGGTGTGTAACGTTGGTGTAGTGGTGGTGGTGGAGGTAGTGACGGTGGCTGGTGTGTAACGTTGGTAGTGGTGGTGGGGAGTAGTGACGGTGGCTGGTGTGTAGCGTTGAAGTAGTAGTGGTGGTGGGGAGGTAGTGACGGTGGCTGGTGTTAACGTTGTAGTAGTGGTGGTGGTGGGGAAGTAGTGACGGTGGCTGGTGTGTGGTAGTAGTAGTAGTGGGGTGGGAGGTAGTGACGATGGCTGGTGTGTACGTTGGTAGTAGTGGTGGTGGTGGGGAGGTAGTGACGGTGGCTGGTGTGTAGCGTTGGTAGTAGTGGTGGTGGTGGAGATAGGACGATGTGGTGTGACGTTGTAGTAGTGGTGGTGTGGTGGGGAGGTAGTGACGGTGGCTGGTGTGTAGCGTTGGTAGTAGTGGTGGTAGGTGGGGGAAGGTAGTGACGGTGGCTGGTGTGTAGCGTTGGTAGTAGTGGTGGTGGTGGGAGGTGTAGTGACGATGGCTGGTGTGTAGCGTTGGTAGTAGTGGTGGTGGTGGGGAAGGTAGTGACGGTGGCTGGTGTAGCGTTGGTAGTAGTGGTGGTGGTGGGGGAGGCAGTGACGGTGGCTGGTGTGTAGCGTTGGTGGTAGTAGTGGTGGTGGGGGAGGTAAGTGACGGTGGCTTGGTGTGTAGCGTTGGTAGTAGTGGTGGTGGTGGGGAGGTAGTGACGATGGCTGGTGTGTGGTTGGTAGTAGTGGTGGTGGTGGGGGAGGTAGTGACGGTGGCTGGTGTGTAGCGTTGGTAGTAGTGTGGTGGTGGGGAGGTAGTGACGGTGGCTGGTGTGTAACGTTGGTAGTAGTGGTGGTGGTGGGGAGGTAGTGACGGTGGCTGGTGTGTAGCGTTGGTGGTGGTGGTGGGGAAGGTAGTGACGGTGGCTGGTGTGTAGCGTTGGTAGTGGTGGTGGGGAGGTAGTGACGGTGGTGGCAGCGCGGCGACAGGTGCCCCACGCTGGTCTGGGCATATTCCACCTCCTCCTATCACATCTCCTGTCCTTCCCTCCACTAGTAACAGCCCTTCGTCCCCACCCCACCTCCTTTCTTACCATTTTCTCTCTCTCCCCCTTCCTGCCCTCTTCTCAACCTCCCCCCATATCTCTCTCTCTCTCTCTCTCTCTCTCTCTCTCTCTCTCAATCTCTCCCCCATCCTACCCCCCCACCACCACTCACTCCTCACACCACAAGCACCACCACGCCCTCACTCCCACCACCACCACCACCCCCCTCATTCCCACCACCCACCACGCCTCACTCTCACCCACTACCTCACTATCACAACCTCCCTCACCACCACCACCAGCGCCCTCCACCCACCACCACGCCTCCTCCCTACCACCTCCTCACACCATCCTCCTGCCATCATCCCATCACCACCACCCCCACTCACCACCACCATCCCCCATCACCACCACCACCCGCCACCACCACCACCCCTGTCACCACCAGCCCCCATCATCACGCCCTCACACCACCGCCACCGCCCTCCTCCCACCATCATCCATCCCACCACCACGCCCTCCTCCCACCGCCACCACGCCACTCCTCCACCACCGCCCTCCCATCACCACCACCGCCCATCACTCCACCACCACCCCCCTCACCACCACCACCACCACCCCTCCATCAGCCACCTCCCTCACCACCACCGCCCTCCTCCCACCACCACGCCCTCCTCACCACCACGCCCTCCACCACGCCCTCCACCACCACCACGCCCTCATCTCCACCATCCTCCACCACCACCACCATTCCACCCCACCACGCCTCATCACCACCACCACGCCCATCACTCCCACCACCACCACCACGCCCTCACACCCACCACCCCCCCATCACCACCACCACCACCCCCCATCACCACCGCCATCCCCCATCACCACCGCCACCCCACCCACCACCACCCCTCATCATCACCACCACCGCCCTCATCACACCTCCTCACCACCACCACGCCTCCTCCACCCACCACGCCCTCCCCCACCACCACCGCCCTCATCCACCACCACCACACCACCACCGCCCTCATTCCCTCGCCCCACGCCCTCCTCCCACCACCCACCCACGCCCTCACTCCCACCCACCACCGCCTCACTCCCACCACCGCCCTCACTCCCCACCACCGCTCATCACCACCACCACGCCTCGCTCCCACCACCATACCCCTACCACCACGCCCTCCTCCACCACCACCACGCCCTCCTCCACCACCACCACGCCTCCTCCCACACCACCTCCTCCACCACCACCGCCCTCCTCCCACCACCACCACCACGCCCTCATCACCACCACCCGCCCTCCTCCCACCGCCACCACGTCATCACCGCCGCCGCGTATCATCACCGCCGCGCCATCATCACCGCCTGCGCCCATCATCGACCACCACCGCCTCATCATCGCCGCATCCTCACCCGCCACCGCGCCCATCATCACCGCCTGCACCACTCACTCTGCCACCACGCCCTCATCCACCACCACACCGCACCACGCTCATCTCCACACCACCACGCCCTCATCACCGCCACCGCCCTCATCACCACCACCACGCCCTCCCACTCCCCTGCCACGCCCTCCACCACCGCCACGCCCTCACTCATCACCTGCGCCTCATCACCACGCCCTCGCTCACCACCACGCCCTCACTCACCACCGCCGCCCTCATCACCGCCATCACTCCCATCACCACCACGCCCTCATCACCTGCCATCCTCATCACCGCCACCGCATCATCCTCCACCACCACCATCATCACCGCCGCCGCCCTCATCACCACCACCTCCATCATCACCACCACCACGCCCTCACTCCACCACCACGCCCTCCTCCACCACCGCCCTCACTCCCACCACCACGCCTCATCACCACCACCTCCTCCCACCGCCCATCATCACTCCACCACCGCCCATCATCACCACCACCACCCCGCCACCTCACTCCGCCACCGCCACGCCATCATCACCGCCACGCCCATCACTCCCTGCCACCACGCCCATCATCACCGCCACCGCCCTCATCTCACCGCCATCACTCCGCCGCCCATCATCACCACCACCGCCTCATCACCACCACCACGCCTCATCACCACCACCTCATCCTCATCACCACCACCGTACCCATCATCACCGCCCCGCGCCCTCATCACCGCCGCCACATCATCACCGCCACCGTATCATCACCGCCACCGCGTATCATCACCACCGCCGCGATCATCACCGCCGCCGCGTATCATCACCATCATCACGCGCCGCCATCCATCATTATCCACCATCACCGCCGCCGCCCTCATCACCGCCGCCGCCATCATCACCGCCACCGTATCATCACCGCCGCCGTATCATCACCGCCACCGCATCATCACACCACCGCTCTCATCACCACCGCCCATCATCACCACCGCCGCCCTCATCACCACCACCGCGTATCATCACCGCCACCGTACATCATCACCTGCGTCTCCATCGCCATATCATCACCGCCACCGCGACATCACCGCCACCACGCCTCATCACCGCCACCGCGCCCTCATCACCACCGCCACCACGTCATCACCGCCACCAGCCATCATCACCGCCGCCGTATCATCACCACCGCCGCAGCCTCATCACCTGCCGTATCATCACCGCCACCGCCCTCATCACCGCCACCGCCCATCATCACCGCCGCCGCCATCATCCGCCGCCACCGCTATCATCACCGCCACCGCCCTCATCACCGCCACCATCCACCACCACCGTATCATCACCGCCCTCATCACCGCCATCGTGCCCTCACTCACCACCACCATCCTCCTCACCCCCACGCCCATCATCCGCCACCATCACTCACCACCACGCCCTCCATCACCACCACCACGCCCTCCTCACCACCGCATCCTCATCACCTGCCGCCCTCATCACCACCACGCCCTCACTCCCACCACCGCCCTCACTCCCACCGCCACCACGCCCTCACTCCCCACCCGCCACGCCCTCCATCACCACCACCATCATCCCACCACCTGCATCTCACCCCCACCACCACCGCCCTCATCACCACCTCACTCCCACCACCACCACGCCCTCACTCCCACCGCCCTCCTCCCACCACCACCACGCCCTCACTCCCACCTCCCACCAGCCACCACCTCCACTCCCACCACCACCCACCATACATGCCGCCACTCACCACCACCACCACGCCCATCCATCACCGCCACCGCCCTCCTCACCGCCATCTCACACCACCACCACCACCCTCCTCCCACCACCGCCACGCCTACTCTCACCACCACCACGCCCTCCTGCCCATCACCACCACCACCCCCTCCATCACCACCACCACCACCTCCTCCCAGCCCCACCCACCACCACTGCCACCCCTCCCACCACCACCACGCCCTCCCATCACCCCTACCACCCTCCATCACCACCCACGCCCTCCTCCCGCACCACCACGCCCTCATCACCACCACCACGCTCACTCATCACCACCACCACGATCACCACCACCACGCCCTCATCACCGCCACGCCCTCACTCCCATCCGCCACCACGCCCTCCATCACCGCCGCGCCATCACCACCGCCCTCCACTCCACCACCAGCCTCATATCCACCACCACCACACCCTCATCACCACCACCGCCCTCATCACCGCCACCGCATCATCCACCACCACGTCCTCCCCGCCACCACCACGCCACCTCAGCACACCACCACCACCTCAGCTCCCATCACCACCACGCCCTCATCACCACCACCACGCCCTCCTCACTACCACCCTCCTCCCACCACACCCTCCTTCCATCATCCCAGCCACCACCACCACGCCCTCCTCCCGCACCACCACCACGCCATCACCACCACGCCCTCCTCCACCACCCCCCACGCCCTCCTCACCAGCACCAGGCCCTCCATCGACCACCACCACCCTCCTCCCGCCACGCCCTCGCTCCACCACCGCCATCCATCCCACCACGCCCTCCTCCCACCAATCACTCCCACCACCGCCCTCCACTCCACTCACCACCACGCCCTCACTCACCACCGCCCTCCTCCCACCACCGCCCTCCACACCACCACCACCATCCTCCTCCCACCACCACATTCTCACACCATCACCAGGCACCACGCCCTCATCCCACCACCACCACGCCCTCCTCCACCACCTCCACCTCCCTCCACTCCACCACCACGCCCTCATCCCTCCACCACCATATCACTCCTCACTCCCACCACCACCACGCCCTCACTCCCACCACCACCATCATCACACTCATCACCACCACCACCCTCCTCCACCACCACGCCCTCATACCACCACCACCCACGCCTCCGCCCAACCACCACCGCCGCCTCACTCCCACCGCCACCACGCCCCGCCCATCATCACCACCACATCCTCCACCACCATCCTCACTCCTCACCACGCCCCCCACCACGCCCTCCTCCCACCAGCACCGCCCTTCATCAGCCACCACCACCGCCCTCACCACCACCACACCTCACTCCCTCCTCCATCACCACCACCACACCTCACTCCCACCACCACACCCACCACGCCTCCTCCACCACACCACCCACCACCACCACGCCCTCCTCCCACCACCACGTCTTACACCACCACCGGCCATCCATCCTCCTCACCACCACCACGCCCTCACTCCACCACCACCACGCCCTCACACCACCACCACCCTCCACTCCCACCACCGCCCTCCTCCCACCACCACCACGCCCTCCTCCTCCACCACCACCCCCCCCACCACCACCACGCCCATCTCACCACCACCACGCCCTCCTCCCACCACCACCACGCCCTCCACTCCACGCATCCCTGCCACCACCACCACGCCAGCTATCCCACCACCACCACGCCCTCATCCACCACCACGCCCTTCATCACCACCACCACGCCCTCCTCCCATCACCACCACGCCCTCCCGCCACCACCTCACTCCCAGCACCACTCCTCCACCTCCACCACCACTCCTCCCACCACCACCACTCCCACCACCACCACGCCCTCCTCCCACCACCCGCCCTCATTCCCACCACCACCACCCACTCCCACCACCACCACCCTCCACCCACCATCACCACCACCACCACTCCACCACCACCATCCTCCCACCACCATCTTCATAACCATGCTCTCCTCTTAACCTGGCTCCATTACACTTCACCCTCATCACTCCCCATCACACCCCATCATCACTTCACATCCCTCCTCCTCCTCCTCCTCCTCCCCCTCCCTCCCCCTCCTCCTCCCTCCACCCTCCTCTCTCACCCCTCCCACCACCTTGTTCCTCCAAGTCCATACCCCATACACGTCTGTCACAGCTTTACTACACACCTGTTACACAGAGCATTACACACTTATACATCTGGTACCCAGATAATTACATCTGCACATCCTGTTACACCCATTCACACGTACCTACCTCTTACCCAGGCATTACACTTACACACCTGCTACACCTAAGTTATAACCTTATTTACCTGTTACACCCAAAAATATACTCATACACCTGTTACCCAGGCATTCACACACCTGTTACCCAGACATTACACTTACACACCTGTTACACCAGACATTACACTTACACACCTGTTACACCCCAGGCATTACACACTTACACACCTGTTGCACCCAGGCGTTACACACACCTGTTACACCCAGGCATTGCTTACACCTGTTACACCCAGGCATTACACTTACACACCTGTTACGCAGGCATTACACTTACACCTGTTACCCAGGGCACTACACACTTACACACCTGTTGCCAGGCATTACACACATACACCTATTACACCCCCAGCATTACACACTACACCTGTTACGCGGGCATCACACTTACACACCTGTTACGCGGGCATTACACGCCCACCTGTTGCACCCAGGCATTACCACACACACCTGTTACCCAGGCATTACACTTACACACCTGTTCACCCAGGCATTACACACCCACACCTGTTACACCCAGGCGACACACCCACCTGTTACGCAGGCGTTACGCACTTACACACCTGTTACACCCGTTCATTACGCACTTACACCAGCGTCGCCGTATACCGTTGATTTGGTAACAGTCTCTCGTAGTGTCTCGTATGGAAATAGTACATTTCTGATACCTCATGCAAGAAATGGCCCACAGTGCTCAGCCCGTAAAGCCACCATGTATAGTACGAAATGTATAGTGTACAGTATTGTGGTTGTGCAATGTATTTTGCTTAATATATGAAGTAGTACAGTATTATATTTGGTGCAATGTGGGTAATAAGTGTATCATTGGTACATTGTAGTAGTATAGATGTGAGTAGTGCAGTATATGGTGATACAATATATGGTTGGTACAGTCCATAGATGGTACAGACCGTGGGGTGGTACAATGTATGGTTGGGACAATGTAGGTACAGTGAGAACAGTGTCATGTTATATAAACGGAGTGTGTACTAAATTAGAAAACTAGAGACGTTTATGCAGCAATGCGTGTGGCTTCTA